GGGGCAATAGTTGACCGCGTGACAGTGCGTTAAATCTGAACCAGCTTAGCAGTTAAATTAAAGCGGTGTATTTGACCAGAAGTGAACTGTTTTTGAACGATTCTGTAACTGGTCAACACCTCGCGTTTGTTCAGTTATCTACACTGCATTATCAGGATAAGTGACAGCTTAATTTCAGCTGTATTAAAACAGGCTGAAATTTGTGACATCATTTTCTGAGTGAGAAGAAAATTTGAGTATTTCGAACGCATTAATAAATCAGTTTTCAAGAAGTTTGCTATGGATCCAAAAATTGTATGCAGCTCCAAAATGGTACCCAGTATTGACAGCTTCACCGCTGCAGAAAATGTAGAAATATAGCTGAAAACTTCCAGAGGGGCCCTGTCAGTAAATGATCTTTGATGAGTGGTGGGCTCAAGTCCGATATTATCAGCTCACAGAAGAACTTATTTCAAAATATCATCGAAAGGTAACATTTGAACTGCATGGGAAGGTGTGAAATTTCAGCAGCCAATTAGCCTGCAAGACCAAAACATGACAAAAAATTTTAGAGATCTTCTGATGTATTCTTGGAAACTCCTTTTATATGGCTCTTTTCCTGATTTCTCTTCTGATCACTACTTCCTTGAAGAATGGTGTTATAATTTACCAAAAAAAAATTCGCTAGTCGACGTAAAAAAAAATTTTTTTTGACCAATATTCAAACTTGAAGATTTTTTTATGTGATATAGCCTAGTTAATAACTACATAAAAGGCTTTATCAATTCTACTTCAATTGTCTTCCATTAAGCAAAAAAAAACTTTTGTAAACAGTGAGCTTTCACGACACTTATTGATGACCGATTTTGCCCTTAAGTCGCTCCCCCTGTGCCCTTAAAATTTTTTGCCACATTTCTTATAGGCGATGAGTTTTTTCAAAATAAAAAATTTGTTTTTTTTTACTTTTTTGAAGATCTTAATATGTCCATATCACCAACTGTAAACGACCTAAGTAAAACAAAGTTTACAGGTATAGAAATTTTATCTAAGATTTCATAGACTGCGCGCCTGATTTATCAAGCTGCTAGAAAAAAGTCTCCTTTCCCGAGACAAATTACAAAAAGGTGCTGTACTCAACATATTTTGAAGACCACTTTAGGAGGTGTGTGAATCACATAATTCAACGCATTTCCCCCAGTTTTCGAGCTCTACCACTAGCCGTCGCCACGTCCCCTCGACGAAGTTGGTGACAGTCGCGAGCGAAGAAGGGACGGATGCTGTTCAAGAATAAAAATTACGGAGTTATGGGATAGAGGCGGAGAGAAAGATGTAACCTTAAGGTTCACAGAATCAAATATAATACAGCTAAGGTTCACAAAGTCCTTAATCCTTTGCCTTCAAGATTTTTCAAGTTCAAGCCAACTGCGTTAGTGAAATTTACTTGAAAATTTGAAACACAAAAGAACTTCCCGTTAAAGCGCCGTAAAATGTAAAGTAAATCTTGAAGCGCTTCCTTTTTCTAATTCTACTCAATACATACATTTCTGGGATTTGGGATGTAGCCGAAAACTAAAAAGTAGGCGGCAGTCTTTGGAATTCCCACAACTTTTATTTGTTTTAAGCTTTTAAATGACAAGACCAGGTAAAGATATGCAAAAAGTTTTGCCATCTTCCACTTTACTGTACTTACGTATTAAGACCAGGCTGAAAAGCTCACACATTAAGCACCACTAACCCACAGCAACTACTATTTTGTATATATACCTAAATCTACTTTTCTGTCTAGTGATCACTACTAAACTAGCCCCTTCAAACTACCATAACTCTCTCCAATACTGAATTTACTGAGGCCAAACTATCATTCACACCCGTCCAGGTGTTGGCCACCAACGGTGACCACCAATCCATCCACTCAACAAACGATCACTCAAAACCACTTTTCCTACCACACCCTGTTTGAAATTCCCTACG